CAACCCCCGGATGCAACATCCAGAAAAATTCCGGAACAGCTTTAAAAAATTGACCATGTCTGGAAAATTTTCCCAGCTCCTGCACCCAACATCTTGCTCCTGGGGGATTTCAACTTAAGGCACCAAAAATGGAGGAATTTATAGCAAATATATTGTTGCAGAAACTAACACCAGGAGGTAGCTCTGATGAAAACCACACTCACACGAGCTTTTAAATCTCTGCACAAAATTCAATTTAAACCAGCAAATAATAGAGCCTACTAGACTGGAGAATACACTAGACCTCATCTTCACTAACAATGATGATCTGATAAGAAATGTCACCATATCAAAAACAATATACTCCGATCACAACAAAATTGAGGTTCAGACATGTATGCGTGGAGCCCCAGACCGACATAATGAGATTAGTCACGAGGGAGCATTCACCAAATTCAACTTCAATAACAAAAACATAAAGTGGGACCAAGTAAACCAAGTCCGTAACCGATATAAGCTGGGAAGATATACTAAGCAACACAGACCCCAACTTATGCCTAGAACAGATTAACTCGGTGGCACTCGATGTATGCACAAGGCTTATTCCTCTAAGAAAAAGGAGGAGTAGATGTAAAATGGAAAGAGACAGGCGCTCCCTTTACAGGCGACGGAAAAGAATAACGGAGCGGCTAAAAGAGGTCAATATATCTGAAATGCGTAGGGAGACACTGGTCAGAGAAATAGCAAGCATCGAACTTAAGCTAAGGAATCTTATAGGAGTCAGGAATCGCGGGAAGAACTAAAAGCCATAAATGAAATCGAAAGAAACCCAAAGTATTTCTTCTATGCCAAATCAAAATCGAGAACAACGTCCAGTATTGGGCCCCTACTTAAACAAAATGGGTCCTACACAGATGACAGCAAGGAAATGAGTGAGCTACTCAAGTCCCAATATGACTCAGTTTTTAGCAAGCCGCTAACCAGAGTCGAAGATCAAAATGAATTTTTTATGAGAGAGCCACAAAATTTGGTTAACACAAGCCTATCCGATGTTATCCTGATGCCAAATGACTTCGAACAGGCGATAAATGACATGCCCATGCACTCTGCCCCAGGGCCAGACTCATGGAACTCCGTGTTCATCAAGAACTGCAAGAAGCCCTATCACGAGCCTTTTCCATCCTATGTGAGAGGGAGCATGGACACGGGGGTCGTCCACAGTTACTAAAAACAACAGACATAGCCCCACTCCACAAAGGGGGCAGTAAAGCAACAGCAAAGAACTACAGACCGATAGCACTAACATCCCATATCATAAAAGTCATTGAAAGGGTCCTAAGAAGCAAGATCACCACCCATCTAGAAACCCATCAGTTACACAACCCAGGGCAACATGGGTTTCGAACAGGTCGCTCCTGTCTGTCTCAACTATTGGATCACTATGACAAGGTCCTAGATGCACTAGAAGACAAAAAAGAATGCAGATGTAATGTATACAGACTTTGCAAAAGCCTTCACAAGTGTGACCATGGCGTAATAGCGCACAAAATGCATGCTAAAGGAATAACAGGAAAAGTCGGTCGATGGATCTATAATTTCCTCACTAGCAGAACACAGAGAGTAGTTGTCAACAGAGTAAAGTCCAAGGCAGCTACGGTTGAAAAGCCTCTGTTCCACAAGGCACAGTACTCGCTCCCATCTTGTTCCTCATCCTCATATCCGACATAGACAAGGATGTCAGCCACAGCACCGTGTCTTCCTTGCAGATGACACCCGAATCTGCATGACAGTCTCCTCCATTGGAGACACTGCAAGGCTCCAGGCGGACATCAACCAAATCTTTCAGTGGGCTGCAGAAAACAATATGAAGTTCAACGATGAGAAATTTCAATTACTCAGATTGGTAAACACGAGGAAATTAAATCTTCATCAGAGTACAAAACAAATTCTGGCCACAAAATAGAGCGAAACACCAACGTCAAAGACCTGGGAGTGATCATGTCGGAGGATCTCGCCTTCAAGGACCATAACATTGTATCAATCGCATCTGCTAGAAAAAATGACAGGAAGGATAATGAGAACCTTCAAACTAGGGAGGCCAAGCCCATGATGACACTCTTCAGGTCACTTGTTCTATCAAGGCTGGAATATTGCTGCACACTAACAGCACCTTTCAAGGCAGGTGAAATTGCTGACCTAGAAAATGTACAGAGAACCTTCACGGCACGCATAACGGAGATAAAACACCTCAATTACTGGGAGCGCTTGAGGTTCCTAAACCTGTATTCGCTGGAACGCAGGCAGGAGAGATACATGATTATATACACCTGGAAAATCCTAGAGGGACTAGTACCGAACTTGCACACGAAAATCACTCACTTACGAAAGCAAAAGACTTGGCAGACGATGCAAACATCCCCCCAATGAAAAGCAGGGGTGTCACTAGCACGTTAAGAGACCATACAATAAGTGTCAGGGGCCCAAGACTGTTCAACTGCCTCCCAGCATACATAAGGGGGATTACCAACAGACCCCTGGCATTCTTCAAGCTGGCACTGGACAAGCACCTAAAGTCGGTTCCTGACCAGCCGGGCTGTGACTCGTACGTTGGTTTGCGTGCAGCCAGCAGTAACAGCCTGGTTGATCAGGCTCTGATCCACCAGGAGGCCTGGTCACAGACCGGGCCGTGGGGGCGTTGACCCCCGGAACTCTCTCCAGGTAAACTCCAGGTAATGACAGAGTCATGCATCGTATATGATGTATTAAATCCAAGGCACAGATCTAGTATGCCACCATATATGTGAGTAGGCTCAGTAGTGCTCACAATTCTAACATTATCATGCTCATTTAGCAATTTCACTAGTTTAGTTCCATTGGTGTTTGTTATAGACCCACCAATATTCTTATGTCTGGCATTAAAATCTCCAAGAATGATGGTAGGTTCACTATTGATGCGATCTGGTAAAGCATCAGGTCGAAGCTGGTTCGCTGGGGCATAGAGATTAAAAATGTTTATGGAAAAATCGCCTGCATATACTTTGACACCATGATACTGCATGTTAACTCGACTCTGCAAGGAAAGGAGTGAATGTGGCAAGTTCTTTCTGACATACATCACACAACAGTTGGTTGACCTTAGGTTATAAGCTGCATATCTAAGCAAGTTTGGTGGAGGTGCTCAATCTTTCAATCTACATTCCTACAAACAGATGACATCAATATTCTTGGTTGCACTAATATGATGTAAGTCAGGCAACCGCTTCCTGATGGAAGCAATGTTCCATGAAAAGGTTTGTAATGTATCCATTGTAGTGAGTTATTACAATCTCTTGCTCATAAGATGGTAAAACTATTATGCTTTGACTACAGTGTGCAGGCACTTAAGAGCAAATAGCATAGTTTGTACGTCTTTATCTTCAGGACCTTTTTTTTTTTAAGCATTTTTCGGCATCTTGACAGCCAGTTAAAAGGCAAGTTTTGAAGGCAAGAGTCATGGGCTTCTTTCTTACAAATTGCTGGAAACTGAACAGGGATTGCTGCACTTTTGACATGGTCTAGAGTAATGCAATTTTATAAGTAACAAGAAATGATGAATGTTTACATGCTGCAGATAAACTAATCAAAGAAAGGCCAAAATATAAGTGTATTCTAACCTAATCGCCCTGTAATCCAGCAAACTTGCTAATCCGGCACTGTACAAGTCCCAATGATGCCGGATTAGTGATGGCTGACCTACTACTATTATTTTAACTAACCCTCGATTTAATGGCCCTCAATTTAATAGTTTTCAGAAATATATGACAGAATACTGTCATAATTAATTCATTCAGAAGGCCTGTTCTTTACAGATTTTATGATCACAGCAAAACACACTTACTGCTCTCCACCACAGTCTCCATTACTGGTCTTCCGTTTCCTCCTTTAGTCAGTTAAATTGAGGGTTTACTGTAAGTTATTACTGTTAGACCTTAATCACTGTAATAATCATTTCAGGTCCTTCACTGTATGGCCTGGAAGTTGCTGGTGCTATGGGAAACATCAGTTTTACGTAAGTGTTTGTCTGAAATTGTTGGGTGATAATGCCAAGATAGCAGACCAGTTATTTATTATTTTTGTTATTATACATGTGTATTCGTATTATATGATGTATTCATAGAGTGTGAGCAGAGTAATATTTAATGAAGGGATTCAGGGAAATTGGTTATTTTTATATAGCCGGACTTGAGTCCTGAAAATAGGAAGTACAATGCCTGCACTCTAAAAGAGGGGTTCGGGATATTGGCAGTTTGGAGGGATATGTTTTGTATATACGTATATATGCTTCTAAACTGTTGTATTCTGGGCACCTCTGCAAAAAAAGTGATTATGTGTGGGTGAGGTGAAAGTGTTGAATGATGATGAAAGTATTTTTTTGGGGGGGGATTTTCTTTCTTTTTGGGTCACCCTGCCTCGGTGGGAGACGGCCGACTTGTTAACCCTTTCAGGGTCGCCAGGCCTTCTCCGAGACTTGTTCTCAGGGTTGCCCAAATTTCAAAAAAAAAGATTATTTTTTTCTTAGGAAAAGATAGAGAATCTTTTCCCGATCATAATGACACCAAAAGTATGAAATTTGATGGAAAACTTACGGAATTATGCTCTCGCGAAGTTAGTGGTCTCAACAATGTTTACACATCGGCGATTTTGCCCACTTTGAGCTCGATTTTTGGCCAATTCCAGTGTACTAGTCAACAAAAATCATAACTATTTCGCTAGAACTCCATTTTTTCTATTGAATGAATGCGAGAAACCACCCATTTACCAATTTCAACTATCCAATACAGTGGTCAGATTTTAGCAATTTTGCCAATTTCACACAAACTTCAAAAGATGCCAATTTCTGAATAGGGTCCAGAATAAACAAAAAAGACATTCCTGGCACTAAAATAACAAGTTCTCTGTTCGTTAGTCACATCCCCAGGCCCCTCTTATATTTCTTTGGCTTTCCACTTTGAATTTTTATTCTTACAAAAAATAGAAGATTTACTGTTATGCAGACTACTGCATTAGTGTAGAAATGGTATAAATAATATCAGCGCACTTGTGAAAGAATATTACACTCACCAGTTGATGTGTATTGAACGCTTGGCATGATTTGTTTACTGTTGAACTTTGGTAAAAATCGAACATTTCTGCTACTTTGAGCTCAATTTAAAGGTATTATTGATTGTAAAACCAGTCAAAAGCATCTCAATTTCTGTAATATGTCTTCCATTCTATAAAATGAGACCAGGAAAACTAGAATACAACCATAAATACCATACGAAAATGCAGTGCAAAGTCACTGTTTTAATCCAAAAACACGGTCAGTTTTTTTTTTTCTCATTACGCACTGTGTGCTGCAGGATTTTTTTTTTATACTGGGCACACTGACCACATAGACCCATTCTTTCATATGTAGGCCTACCAGTTTTCACTAGATTTGAGGGCGCTAGAATTTAGGCGTACTAGTACGTACGTCAAAAACCATGGGGTGTAAGCCATACTAGTACGGCCGAAACCCTGAGAGGGTTTAAAAAAAAAAAAAAAATCATAGTATCACAGGGATGGACTTGTCAGGTCATAAATCATCTACGGAATGGGAGGTAATTAGGTTTGAATTAAGGAAAGAGATGTCTGCTGCTATTCCTCTGACCAAGTACTCTACCAGCATCATGGCATCTCTGTATCCCTATTGAAGGGTTCTTGATAACAGTAGTACCCTTTTTTTTTTTTCTTCTTTCAACAAACCAGCCATATCACACTGAGGCAGGGTGGCCCAAAAGGAAAAACGGAAGTTTCTCCCTTTAACTTTAGTAATGTATACAGGAGAAGGGGTTATTAGCCCCTTGCTCCTGGCATTTTAGTGGCATACGGAGGAAGAATTCTGTTCCACTTCCCCATGGAGATAAGGGGAAATAAACAAGAACAAGAACTAATAAAGAAATGGAAGAAAACCCAGAGGGGTATGTGTATATATATGCTTGTCTATGCATGTGTAATGCGACCTAAGTGTAAATAGAAGCAGCAAGATGTACCTGAAAACTTGCATGTTTATGGAACCTGTGAAGCAATTACAAGTTTGTTTTACTCACTTGGCAGGACAGTAGTACCTCCCTGGGTGGTTGCTGTCTACTAGCCTACTACCTAGGAGTAGTACCCTTTACCAGCATCAAATCATCCTTGTACCCCCCATGAAGGTTCTCGACATTACAGTACTTCTACATCTTTAATATTTACTTTCCAGTTCATGAAACCTGGTTGGCAACTGGGCTTCACGAAAGATTAACAGATATTTGGGGGTATCTCTGCATGTAGGAACACTTGAAGAGTGTTTGGGAGTTGTCATGATGCAACAACTTATTGAATTTCCAGAATAAGTTAAAACAACTTATAAACGAGCAGTCTCATTTATGTCTGCTCGCATGATAGTTCCAGACTTAACCTTATTAACACAAAATACGACACTTGTTTGAAGGCTTGATTGGAAAAACAGTGATGTGACAGTTTTTTTTTTAACACACTGGTCATCTTCCACCGAGGTAGGGTGACCAAAAAAAAAAAAAAAAAAAAAAAAAAAGAAATACATCTACTATTATTTATTCAGACACTATCTTGCCAGAGGTGTGAATATCACAGTTCAGACGATTCTTAACCGTAGCATTTTAACCCCCTTCCTTTACAGTGCAGGTATTGTATTTCCTATCTCCAGAACTGAAATTTGTGGTATAAAAAATCATTGTTAATTGAGAGCAAGGTACAGTCAAACCTTGGTTTTCATGTGTCCTAGTTTTCATAAGATTCGGTTTATGACGATTTTTTTTTCAAAATTTTGTCCCAGTTTCTGTACATCCGCTCGGTTTTGGTACAGTTGAAAATGGTCCATACCAAACTCGTCCACCTGTCTGCATGACTCTGCCACTCATTTACCAGAATCGAGCATCCACACAAAGCATCCCATGCATTTGTGATTCAGTCTACCTTTGTTTCTCTTTGAATGAGCATCACCTCACGCGCTCATCCGAAACATTTTGTAATAATCCATTTTTTTGTGCTTGTTTATTGAATGCGACTGCTAAATAAGCCACCATGGGGCCAAAGAAAGTTCTGAGTGCCTGCCCTTTGATAAAGAAGTTGGGAAGAAGGCTTGGAAGACCAATTGTTGGAGGTGTTTAGTTTCATCACAGTGAAGTTCTTTCCCACTAATACCACTCCGCTCATCCAGCCGATGGACGAGCAGGTCATTTCAAACTTAAAAAATTCTACACCAAAGCACTGTTTCAAAGGTGCTTTGAAGTGACCTCGGACATTGAATTGACCCTAAGAGTTCTGGAGGAATCACTTCAATATCCTCAATTGCATAAGCCTTATAGATAAGGCTTGGCAGGGAGTGACTTCCAGGATGATGAACTCTGCTTGGAGAAAATTGTGGCCAGAATGTGTCCTCGAGAAGGATTTTGAAGGGTTTGAGGCTGACCCTGATGACCCTACGCCTGTTGTGGAATCTATCGAGTCTGGGGAAGTCCATGGGGGTTGGATGTGAGTGGCCAGGATGTGGAAGAGTTGGTGGACAACTACAGGGAAGAGCTAACCATTGAAGAGCTGCAAGACCTTCAACTGGAATAGCAACAAACTGCAGCTGAGGAAATTCCTTCAGAGGAGGAGGAAGAGAGAGGGGAGAATGTGCCTTCTTCAGTCATTAAGGACATATGTGCAAAGTGGAATGGGTTCCAAAGTTTTGTGGAGAAATATCACCCTAACAAAGCTGTTGCAAGCTGTGTCTGCAACATGTTCAATAACAATGCCTTATCCATTTTAGGCAAATCTTAAAAAGACATCTCTGGACAGATTTTTTTGTGCGACAGGGGTCCAGTGACTCTCAAGCTGGTCCTAGTGCCAGTAAAAGACAAAGAAGGGAAGTAATCCCAAATAGGGCCCTTGATACCTAAATTCCTTATGGACAGGGATTCCCCTTCCAAACAATAACCTCTCCTCCTCCCTCTCCCCTCCTCAACATCTTCCATATGCCAACAAGAGTCTTCAATAAGGTAATAGTGATATTAAATGTTCATTTATCCATTTCATTAGTCATTTATATTTATTTCTCATTGTTTTCTGTATGTAAAACTATAGTTATTCTATAAAATTTAGTTTTTGTTAATATTTTTGGGTGTCTGGAATAGATTAATTGGATTTACATTATTTCTTATGGGAAATATTGCTTCAGTTTTCGTATGATTCTGTTTTCGTCGACTTTTCCAAATGGATTAATCACAGAAACCGTGGTTCCACTGTATATATGTTACCATATGTAGCTCCCTTTGATTAACAAGACTGTTGCTGATTCCTAAATATTTTATCCCATAGATTTGCAGAGAGCTTAGTATTCTCCTCTCTCATCTCTGCTGTGGATCCAGTGGCAGTTCTGGCCATTTTTCAAGAGCTTGGGGTAAATAAAGACCTCTACTTCCTCATCTTTGGCGAGTCACTCCTCAATGGTGAGTTTGTCTGTTCTAGAATGCTTTTTTTTAATTCCTTTTTTTTTATGGTAGTAGGTTGGTAGAAAGCAATCACCCAGGGAGGTACTGCCGTCCTACCCAGTGAGTGTAATATGGAAGCCTGTACACATATTTGTTTTGCATGATGGTAGGATTGCTGGTGTCTTTTTTTTGTCTCATAAACATGCAAGATTTTAGGTATGTCTTGCTACTTCTATTTACACTTAGGTCACACTACACATGCATGTATACGTTTATGTATACATACTCAGATGAGTTTTCTTTGATTTTATCTTAATAGTTCTTGTTCTTTTTAGTAATCTTTACAGGAAAAGGGGCTACTAGCCGATTGTTCCCGGCATTTTAGTTGACTTTTACAACACGCATGGCTTACAGAGGAAAGATTCTTATTCTGCTTCCCCATGGATATAAAAGGAAAAGTAATAAGAACAAGAACTATTAACCCTTAAACGGTCCAAACGTATATATACGTTCACGTGTGTAGTGCCCCAAATATTTTGAGAAAAAAATTTTTTATAGGAAAAAAGAGCATTTGGTACTCAGGCATCCCCAATTTTTTTCATATGGTGCACACTGAATGCACACACCCATTCTGTCATGTCCAGGTAACTCAGGCCTAACGTGCCAATGTTGAATGAATGACAAAGGAAACGTATATATATGTTTGGGGCGCTGTGCAAGAGAGTGTATATATACGTTTGGACCGTTTAAGGGTTAAGATAAAATCAAACAAAACTCAGATGAGTGTGTATAAATAAACATGTACATGAATGTGTAATGTGACCTAAGTGTAAGTAGAAGTAGCAAGACGTACCTGTAATCTTCCATATTTATAAGACAAACAAAAGACACCAGCAATCCTACCATCATGTAAAACAATTACAGGCTCTCATTTTACACTCACTTGCAGGACGGTAGTACCTCCCTGGGAAGTACAATGCCTGCACTTTAAAGGAGGGGTTTGGGATATTGACAGTTTGGAGGGATATATTGTGTATCTTTATATGTAATATCTTCTAAACTGTTGTGTTCTGGGCACCTCTGCAAAAATAGTGATTATGTATGAGTGAGGTGAAAGTGTGAATGATGAAAGTATTTTCTTTTGGGGATTTTTTCTTTTTGGGTCACCCTGCCTCGGGGGGAGATGGCCAACTTGTTAAAAAAAAAAATTCTTGTTCTTGTTGCTTTTCCTTTCATATCCATGGGGAAATGGAATAAGAATCTTTTCCCCGTAAGCCATGCATATTGTAAAAGCCAAAAAGCCAACTAAAATGCTGGGAGCAATGGGCTAGTAACCTCTTTTCCCATATAGCTTACTTTTTAAAGAAAAGAAGAAACTGTAAAAGTGGGACATTTGAATGTGTGTGGATGTTGTGTGAATGATAAGAAAGAGATGATTGTGGATCTTATGAATGAGAAGCTGGATGTCCTGGCTTTAAGTGAAACAAAGCTGAAAGGGTTAGGAGAATTTCAGTGGAGAGAAATAAATAGGATTAGGTCAGGGATTTTTAATAGTTATAGTTAAGGAAGAGTAGCTGTGATGTTAAAGGATAAGTTATGGCAGGAAAAGAGGGAATATAATTGTATAAATACAAGGATTATGTGGAGTAAAATAAAGGTTGGATGTGAAAGTGGATTATAGTAAGTGTTTTATGCACCTGGAGAAAGGAAAAGTGTAGAGGGGAGAGAGAGATTTTGGAAATGTTGAGTGAGTGCATGGGGAGTTTGAATTAAGTGAATAAGTACTTGTGGTTGGGGATTTCAGTGCTAAAGTGGATAAAAAATGTTGTGGAGGGAGTAGTAGGTAAATTTGGGGTGCCAGGGGTAAATGAAAATGGGGAGCCTTTAATTGAACTAAGTGTAGAAAGAGGTTTGGTAATAAGTAATACATATTTTATGAAAAGAGGAATAAATAATATACAAGGTATGATATAGGTAATGTATTGGTGGATAAAAAGATTGATGGGTAGGCTTCAGGATGTACATGTTTATAGAGGGGCACTGGATATATCAGATCATTATTTAGTTGTAGCTACAGTTAAAGTAAGAGGTAGATGGGATAAAAGGAAAATGCCAACAGCAAGTAAGAGAGAGGTGAAAGTTATAAACTAAGGGAGGAGGAAGTTAGGGTGATATATATGCAACTATTGGCAGAAAGGTGGGCTAGTGCAAGTATAGGTAGTGGGGGAGGGTTGAAGAGGGATGGGATAGTTTTAAAAATGCAGTACAGGTAGGTCATCACTAATCCGGCATCATTGGGACCTGTAGTGTGCCAGATTAGTGAGTTTTGCCCGGGTTAAAGAGTGGTTAAGTTAGAATACACCTAATTAACCTATCAATGGAGACTCGGCTACATCTCCTCATTTTCATCACTGCATTCTCCTCTACTGGGTTGCTGCTGTAGATTTGCAACCATTTGCACAATTTCTGAGTCAGTATAATGATGGGATTTGAAATTATGCTATCCGAAATTAGTGCCGGATTACTGATGGAACCAGATAACTGATTGCCAGATTAGCGATGGCCGACCTGTATTACAATGTGAGGAAGAAGTTTGTGGCTATGGGAGGGTGGGTGCAGGAGGAAAGAGGAGTGATTGGTGGAATGATGAAGTGAAAGGTGTGACAAATGAGAAAAAGGTAGCTTATGAGAGTTTTTTTTACAAAGCAGAAATGATACAAGGGCAGAGTATATGGAGAGTAAAACAAAGGTGAAGAGAGTGCAAAAGGAGAGCAAATGATAAGTGGGAAAGGCACTGTCAAGAAATTTTTCTGAAAATAAGAAAAAATTTTTTTAGTGAGATAAACAGGTTTAAGAAAGCCTAGGGAATACATAGATTTGTCATTTAAAACAGAGTAGGGGAGTTAGTAGATGGGGACATGGAGGTATTGGGTAGATGGCGGGAATATTTTGAGGAACTTTTAAATGTCAATGGAGAAAGGGAGGCAGTAATTTCATGCACTGGCCAGGGAGTATAACATCTTTGAGGAGTGAAAAAGAGCAGGACGTGAGTGGGGGGGGAGGTGCGTGAGGTATTACGTAGAATGAAAGGGGGTAAAGCAGCTGGAACTGATGGGATCATGACAGAAATGTTATAAGCAGGGGGAGATATAGTGTTAGTGGTTCATATTTTTGTTTAATAAATGTATGAAAGAGGGGAAGGTACCTAGGGATTGGCAGAGAGCATATATAGTTCCTTTATGTAAAGGGATGGGGGACAAAAGAGATTGTAAAAATTATAGAGAAATAAGTTTACTGACTATACCAGGTAAAGTGTAATGGTAGGGTTATTATTGAAAGAATTAGAGGTAAGACAGAGTAGGATTGCAGATGAACAAGGAAGCTTTAGATTGGGTAGGGGATGTGTAGATCAAGTATTTACATTGAAGCATATAGTATATGTATGTGAAGAGTATTTACATAAAGGAAGGGAAGTTTTCATTGCATTTATGGATTTAGAAAAGGCATGTGATAGTGGATAGGGGAACAATGTATCAGATGTTGCACATGTATGGAATATGTAGTAAGTTACTAAATGCTGTAGAGAGGTTTTATGAGGATAGTAAGGCTCAGGTTAGGGTGTGTAGGAGAGAGGGAGATTACTTCCCAGTAAAAGTAAGTCTTAGACAGGGATGTGTAATTTCACCATGGTTGTTTAATATATTTATAGATGGGGTTGTGAAAGAAGTAAATACTAGGGTGTTGGGGAGAGGGTTGGGGTTAAATTATGGGGAATCAAATACAAAATGGGAGTTGACAAAGTTACTTTCTGCTGATGATACTGTGCTTTTGGGAGATTCTAAAGAAAAGTTGCAAAGGGTAGTGGACGAGTTTGGGAGTGTGTAAAGGTAGAAAGTTGAAAGTGAACATAGATAAAAGTAAGGTGATGAGGGTATCAAACGATTTAGATAAAGAAAAATTGGATATTGCATTGGAGAGAGGGAGTCTGGAAGAAGTGAATGTTTTCAGATATTTGGGAGTTGACTTGTCAGCAGATGGGTTTATGAAGGATGAGGTTAACCATAGAATTGATGAAGAAAAAAAGCCAAAAGGTGCATTGAGGTATCTGTGGAGACAAAAAATGTTATCCATGGAGGCAAAGAAGGGAATGTATGAAAGTATAGTGGTACCAAGACTCTTGTATGGGTGTGAAGCTTTGGGTGTCAGTGCTGCAGCAAGGAGGCGGCTGGAGGCAGTGGAGATGTCCTGGTGTAAATATTATGCAGAGAATTCGTAGTGTGGAAATTAGGAGGAGGTGTGGAGTTACTAAAAGTACTAGTCAAAGGGCTGAAGAGGGGTTGTTGAGGTTGTTTGGTCATTTAGAGAGAGTGGAACGAGGTAGAATAGATCAAAGTAGAATGACATGGAGAGCATATAAATCTGTAAGGAAAGGAAGGCAGGGTAGGGGTCATCCTCGAAAAGGCTGAAGGGAAGTCGTAAGGGAGGTTTTGTGGGCGAGGGGCTCGAACTTCCAGCAAACGTCCGTGAGCGTGTTAGATAGGAGTGAATGGAGACAAATGGTTTTTGGGATCTGACAAGCTGTTGGAGTGTGAGCAAAGTAAAAATTTTTGTGAAGGGATTCAGGGAAACTGGTTAGCCAGACTTGAGTTCTGAAAATGGGAAGTACAATGCTTGCACTTTAAAGGAGGGGTTTGGGTTATTGACAGTTTGGAGTGGCTGTCTAAACTGTTGTATCTGGGTGCCTCTGCAAAGATAGTGATTGTGTATGAGTGATGGTGAAAGCATTGAATGATAATGAAAGTTTTTTTTTTTTTTTGGGGGGGGGGGTTCTTTCTTTTTGGGTTTTTCTTTCTTTTTTGAGTCACCCTGTCTCAGTGGGAGATGGCCGACACGTTAAAAAAAAATATATTTTTCAAAATATTTTCATATTGTATGCTGTACTTAAATTAATATTTAACCCCTTGACTGTCACAACCCCGATCCTGAGGTGTCTCCTGGTGTCGCAAAATTAAAAAAAAAAAAAAAATTATTTTTTCTTCTGAAATGATAGAGAATCTTTTCCCAATTGTAATGACACCAAAAAAATGAAATTTGATGGAAAACAGATGGAATTACGCTCTCGCGAAGCTAACGACCTCGCGATAATTTACAAATCGGCGATTTTGCCACTTTGAGCCCTATTTTCGGCTAATTCCATTGTTCCAGTCGACCAAACTCATAGCTATTTCTTTAGAAACTCCATTTTTTCTATCGATTGAATACAAGAAACTGCCCATTTACTGATTTCAACTACCTAATAACGTGGTCAGAAATTTGCAATTTGGCAATTTCACTAAAATTAAAAAATATGACTATTTCAAAATAAGGTCCAGAATGAACACATGCAGACATTCCTGGCTCTAAAATAACATTTTCTTTGTTAATCAGTCATGTCTCCAAGCCCCTCTGATATTACTCTTGCTTTCTATTTTGAATTTTTTATTCAAACAAAAAATAGAAGATTTACTGTTATGCAAACTACTGCAATACTGTAATATATATGTAATTGTACAATAATGTCAACCCATTCATGACTGCATATTAGAATGGCTAGTTGGACATGTATTGGACAATGACATCTTATGTTTACTTTTGAACATCGGCAAAATTAAACATTTCCCGTACTTTGAGCTCCATTTCCAGGTTTTATAATAAAACCAATCAAACCACCTCTATTTCTGTAATATGTTTTTCCATTCTAATCAAATAAGGACCAAGAAAACGAGAATACAACCATAAATACTACGTATATGAAAATAGACTACAAAGTCGGCATTTAATTGAGAAAAAAAACGTGGAGTTATTTTTTTTTATATGGTGCACACTGACCACACAGACCCATTCTCTCACATGTGGGCCTATCAGCTTTCTCCTGCTTGATTTGAAAGCCGCTAGAATTTGAGTATGTATAGGTCAAACATGTACCTCGTAAGACGTATATATATGACCGAAACAGTCAAAGGGTTAAGAGAATTATTTTAAATGTGCAAGTTTTTGTTATTGATTATTTTATCACATATGGAGATGAACATAAAGAAATTTCATCTTTCTCATTACACCTTATCATTAATATATCTTAATAGTGCAAAAACCCACCTAATGAAAATAAATATACTGTACAGTATATTTTGAATGAAAGGCACAATCCGTAATTGGAAATGCTGTCATAAGTTTCATCCTTCTATGTGCAGATTATTTGTGTTCAGTGTACAGTGGTACCTCGAGTTTCGGCCATAATTTGTTCCGAAAGGCTGTTCGAGTGCTGTTACAAAACGAATTTGTTCTCAAAAGGAATAATGTAAATTACATTAGTCTGTTTCAAACCCAAAAAATACACTTACAAAAGAACTTACAATAATACGCTTACATAATTGTTCGAGTTGAGAGCTGTTCGAAACTCTGGGTACCACTGTATTTTGGCCTGTAGGTCTGCTGGTATCTACAACTCTGTGCTCTTCAGTGTGTTGAAGACGGCATCCAGGTTGGTTTATTTATGCCACAACTAGTGGTTATAAGTCATTTAAGATACTAATGATAAATACAAATGGTTTTCCAGTTCCTTTATCTTCAAAGAACCTGTCATTTTGTTTATCACTTGAAATCATTCTTATAATCCAGAAAATGTACTGTAAAGCACTTTTAAATGACAGTATTTATTGCTCTGAGTCATTGTTGGTATACAGACACTCCTAACTTTATGGCCTACATGTTTAACAACCACGTGGACTTACACCAGCTCTCCAACGAATTGAATATTGTACTCTGTATGGAGAACTTTTCCAATGTGGCTGTATTAGAACTAGAAGGTATGAACCTGGAAAGTGAATGAGGCTGTATTAGAACTAGAAGGTATGAACCTGGAAAGTGGAATGTGGCTGAATTAGAACTAGAATGTTGAACCTGGGAAAGTGAATGTGCTGTATTAGAACTAGTAGGTAGAACCTGGAAATGTGAATGTGGCTGTCATTAGAACTAGAAGGTATGAACCTGGAAAGGGAATGTGGCTGTATAGAACTAGAAGGAATGACCTCGGAAAGTGAATGTGCTGTAATTAGAACAAGAAGGTATGAAACCGGAAAGTGAAATGTGGCTGTATTCGAATTAGAAGGTATGAACCTGGAAAGTGAATGTGGCAGTATTAAGAACTAGAAGGTCTGACCTGGAAAGTGAAGTGCTGTATTAGAACTAGAAGTATGAACCTGTAAAGTGAATGTTGGCTGTATTAGAACCTAGAAGTGTATGAACCTGAAAGTGAATGTGGCTGTATTAGACTAGAAGGTATGAACCTGGAAAGTTGAATGTGGCTGTATTAGAACTAGAAGGATAACTGAAAGTGAATGTGGCTGAATTAGAACTAGAAGGTATGAACCTTGGAAAGTGAATGTAGCTGTATTGGAAATCTAGAAGGTATTAACCTGGAAAGTGAATGTGCTGTATTAGAACTAGAAGTTATGAACCTGGAAAGTGAATGTAGCTGTATTTAGGAACTAGAAGGTATGAACCTGGAAGAGTGAATGTGGCTTATTAGAACCTAGAAGGTTATGAACCTGAAAGTGAATGTACTGTTTGGAACTAGAAGTATGAACCTGGAAATTGAATGTTGGCTGTATTAGAACTAAGGGTATGAACCTGGAAAGTGAATGTGGCTGTATAAGAACTAGAGGGTATGAACTGAAAGTGAATTGGCTATAATAAACTAGAAGGTATGAACCTTGAAAGTGAATGTGGCTGTATTAGAACTAGAAGGTATGAACCTGGAAAGTGAATGTGGCTATAATTAGAACTAAGAAGGTTATGAACCTGGAAAGTGAATGTGGGCTATATTAGAACTAGAAGGTATGAACCTGGAAAGAGAATAGTGGCTGTATTAGAACTAAGGGTATGGACCTGAATGGTTAATCACCGCTTCACGAAGTGAATGGTTGTGTGAAATATACGAAGACAAAAAAGAAAATACAAAGCAACCACACTACTGGATTATTTTTTAAAGCTACACCTCGAACACCCTACCCCTACAAGCCCTTCCATTTCCTCGTCCGCATCTCTCTTACACCTGGGCCCTCTACAGCTCCTGATAACAATGCTGATAACTCCGATGAGATCTCCTCACATATCAACCAGTTCCTTAACACCCTAGTCAAGGAATCAGAACTCCGTCATTTAAGTAAGGAGTACCTGTACTAGTCCAGATGATATATGTATAAATGATGACTTCCAATAATGATCTGACCATACCTTACAGATGGTGTGACGGTGGTGATGTACAATACATCAGGCCTTCATGCTCCTTGAGTATGTAACACAGGCCAGTATGCCCTGGCCATCAATTGCGTTCTTCATTGTTGTGTGTGGAGGCATCTTCATTGCATCTTCTTTGGCTGCCTCACAGCCCTCATCACCAGTCTACAACAGATGTTAGAGTTTGTGTTTTTTTATTATTGCCCATTGTTATTGATGAAATAGACACTTGGGTGACTTTTATTGAGGAAATGTTTTGCCATGCAGGGCTTTGTCAGTCCAATCAAGAAAGAATGTGAAGATCAAAAGGAGTCTGAGGTAATACAGTCCCCAACCTGGAGTCAATATAACATGTGACTAATTCATCAGCTTGTCGGTTCTCTGAATCTGACGCATTTATACCATAGCCATTGTTATTGTATCTTAGGGGAACCTCCTGAACCCTAAGGGTTATACAGTGCCTGTGGAATGGGAAGCAAGTGGGTTTGGTCCAAGGAAAGGGCGGATAAGTCCAGTTCCTTGCATAAAGAAGCCCTCACTGGCATCAAGGCTTTAGAAAGTTTTGTGACTTGTAACTAAACAATTTTAAAACCCTTTTTTTTAAAAGTTAGCTATAATATTGTTTTTATGACACTGATGGGAGGTTTTTTGATGGCTGGTGAGGGGCTGCTTGATACAAATAATTGAGACCCCATCCTTAGATCAGACCTGATTGTTCTCGTGTCCCACCAGGTAGAGTATGAATCCCTAGATGAAGATCATCTGCTACAGTACTACTACGACAGTGGACCCCCGATTAAGACGTCATCGGATAAGTAATGTTTTGTGTCAAAATATTTGCCTCGGTTAACGACACTGAACTCAGTAAAAGTCCATCGTCCCTGAATGTGTCCGCGCGCCATGAGCAGCCCAGACACACCATGAACAGCCAGTGTGCCATTGCTTTACCAGCCAGTGAGGATGATTCCATGCATACATGAAGATACATTTTGTATTATTCCATGGTTTTAAGTGCTTGTAACTGCTAAATAAGCCACCATGTGGGGGCCCAAATGAAGCTTCTAGTGCCAGCCCTTTGGTAAAGAGGGTGAGAAACACTATAGAATTCAAGAAAAGTTGTAGAAAGATGCAAAAGTTGGGTGGTGGTGAGAGGGTAGTGATGGTGGTAGAGGGTGGTAGTATGGTCCAAACACTGTCTCTGCAGTGTTTCCTGTTCTTATGTACACCAGCCAGGTACTCCTCCCACACAACCACCAGGGTACTTCTCACCTTCTCCCACACATCACCAGCCAGGGTACTTCTCCCACACACACAGCCATGGTACTCTCCCACACACAACCAGCCAGGTACTTCTCCCACACACATACCAGCCAGGGGTCACTTCTCCCAACACACCAGCCAGGGTACTCTCCCACACACACCCCAGGTACTTCTTTACTTCTCCCAACACACACAAGCCAGGACTTCTCTCCCACTCACACCAGCCAGGATACTTCTCCCACACACACCAGCCAGGGTACTTCTCCCACACACACCAGCCAGGGTACTTCTCCCACAACACCAGCCTGGGTACTTCTCCCACACACACCGAGCCAGGGTACTTCCCTCACACACAACCAGCCAGGGTACTTCCCCCCACAAACCAGCCAAGGGTACTTCCCCAAACACACCACCAGGGTACTTCCCCACACACACCAGTCAGGTACTTCCCCACACACACCAGCCAGGGTACTTCCCCACACACACCAGCCCGGGTACTGTCCCCCACACACAAGGCCAGCCAGGGTAACTTACCCCACACAACACCAGCCAGGGAGGTTACTTCCCCACACACACAACCCAGCCAGGGTACTCCCCACACAACACCAAGCCAGGGTACTTTCCCCAACACACACCACCAGGGGTACTTCCCCACACACACCAGCCAGGGTACTTCTCCACACACACACCCAGGGTGAGAAACACTTCTCCACACACACCAGTCAGGGTACTTTCCTCCCACACACACCAGCCAGGGTAACTTCTCCCACCACACACCAAAAGGCCCCCCCCCCCACCCCCAAGGGTACTCTCCCACACACACCAGCCAGGGGTAAACTTCTCCCACACAGCAACCAGCCAGGGTACTTCCCCACATCATACACCAGCCAGGGTACTTTCCCCACACACACCCAGCCAGGGTACTACCCTCACACACCCACCCCCAGGGTACTTCCCCCCCCACACCAGCCAGGGTACTTCTCCCACACACAGACCAGCGCAGGGTACATTCTCCCACTCACACCAGCCAGGTACTTCTCTCCCACACACACCAGCCAGGTACTTCTCCCACACACACCAGCCAGGTACTTCTCCCTCACACACACCACCAGGGTAACGTCTCCCACACACAACCAGGCCAGGGTACTTCCTCCACACAACACCAGCCAGGGTACTTCTCCCACACTACACCAGCCATGGTACTTCTCCCACACACACCAGCCAGGTACTTCTCCCACACACACACACCAGGGTTACTTCCCCACACACACACAGCCAGGGTACTTCCCCACACACACCAGCCAGGGTAATTCCCCACAAACACCAGCCAGGGTACTTCCCCCACCACACACCTAGCCAGGGTACTTCCCCACACACACCATCCAGGGTACTTCCCCACACACACCAGGCCAGCGTACTTCCCCACACACACCAGCCCAGGGTACTTCCCCACACAACACCAGCCAGGTACTTCCCCACACACACCAGCCAGGTACTTCCCCACACCACACAGCCAGGGTACTTCCCCACACACACCAGCCAAGGGTACTTCCCCACACACCCAGCCGAGGGTCCTTCTCCCACCAAAACACACCGAGCCAGGTACTTCTCCCACACACACCAGCCAGGGTACTTCCCTCCCCAGCACACAACCAGCCAGGGTACTTCTCCCACACACAACCAGCCAGGGACTTTCCCACACACACCAGCCGGTACTTCCCCACACACCCACCAGGGACTTCCCCACAACACACCAGCCAGGGTACATTCCCACACACACCAGCCCAGGGTACTTCCCATTCACACACTCCTCCAGGGTACTTCCCCACACACACCAGCCTGGGTAATTCCCCACACACACCAGCCAGGGTAACATCCCCAACACAAAACACACCAGCCAGGGTACTCCCAGAGACACACACACCAGCCAGGGTACTGTCCCCACACACAGCCAGCTCAGGGTACTCCCCACCCACACACAGCCAGGTACTTCCCCCACACACACCAGCCAGGGTACTTCCCCAACACACACACCAGCCAGGTACTTCCCCACACACACACCACCAGGTACTTCCCCACAACACCACACACACACCACCAGACAGGGTACTTTACCCACACACCCAACAGGGTACTTATTACCCACACACAGAACAGTACTTACCCACACACCAGACAGGGTAACTTGCCCACACACCAGACAGGTACGTTGCCCACACCACCAGACAGGGTACATCCCCCCAACACACCAGCCATGGTACTTCCCCACACACCAGCCATGTAAATTCCCCACACACCACAATTTGATTGGACTTGAACATGATGGCAGTAGAATTATCAAAGCTTATTGCTTGGGTTAGCATTGAAAATTGGTTTGGGCAAATACGATTCTGTTACGGGATGGTTTGTGAAGCCCTGTCTAGTATGGGGCCAACAGGCCTCTTGCAGTGTTTCCTGCTTTCTATGTGCAAACATGATGATGAACATCACCCTGACACAGCTGTTTGCAGCCGTGCTGGCACATGAACGCAGAAACAGAGCAGAGCTCTCCTGGACAGATATTTTTATGCGACAAGGCTCCAGTGACTCTCAAGCTGGTCCTAGTGGCATTAAAAAACAAGGGAAGTAACCCCAGATAAGGACTTGGTACCTGAAGTCTTTATAGGAGGGGATTCCCCTTCCAAACAATAGTACACCTCCATCCTCTCCCCTCCTGTCTCAGCAATCATCAATAAGTCTTCAATAAAGGTAAGTGTCATTTTAGTAATGTTTTACTCTGCATGTCTCATTGTCTTCTATGTAGGTCAATGTATATTTCACGTAGAAAAATTATTTTTAACACTTTTGGGTGTCTGGAACAGATTAATTGGATTTCCATTATTTCTTATGGGGAAAATTAATTCGGATTAAGTCAGATTCAGGATAAGACACACTCTCTGGAACAGATTAATTACGTTATCCTGGGGTCCACTGTACTTGTAATACTTCTCTTCTAGTACTACTACTATTAACTGTTTTTTTTCCACTATTTCTTCTACAACATCTATTCAACACACCGGCCGTATCCCACCGAGGCGGGTGGCCCAAAAGGAAAAACGAAAGTTTCTCCTTTTTACATTTTTATAATAGATACAGAGAAAAGGAGGTTACTAGCCACCATGCTTCCCGGCATTTATTGCCTCTTACAACACCAATGGCTTACCGGAGGAAGAATTCTGTTACCACTTCCCCATGGAGATAAGAGGAAATAAACACGAATAAAACTAGAAAGAAAATGAGAAGAAAACACCCAGAGGGTGTTGTATAAATGCTCTTGTACATGTATGTGTAGTTGTGACCTAAGTGTAAGTAGAAGTAGCAGACGTTAACAAAACCTGAAATCTTGCATGTTCATGAGACAGAAAAAAGGACACCAGGCAAACCTACCATCATGTAAAAACAATTACATGCTTTTTTTTCGTTTTACACTCACTTGGCAGGACGTAGTACCCCCTGGGCGGTTGCGTCTACCAACCTACTACCTATAATTCTACAACTAACTACTACTATGGTTTCAGTTTGTACATTACTTCTACGGCCTACTATTATATCACAGGGAAGCACCAAAACCTGTAGGTGTCAAGTGCCTGTGGAATGCAGGCAGATAGGTGTGATCCAAAAAAGAGGAGAGGAGGGTAACTATTAATTTCTCTGGTCAAGAGCCCTTCACGCAACCAGTTTCATTTCAGGGCACCTCTGTTTACGGGATTTGTTCCTTCCATATCTTTTATTT